TGAATTTTAAACTTTCTTTTGTATAGGAGATCTCGCGTTGCCTACTTCACCCTGATCTGTCATGGGGATGTTCTGAGCTGGTCTGGGAGAGTGGTGGATAAGGCACTAGGAGCATGAGAACAGTTTGATCGTCACCGAATGACTAGATGTTGTAGCCTCTCATAAATCGTAGCCGAGCAGCAGCGAACTTAATAATTCCTGAGTCCAAGGGTGCTGGAATCCTAGACCTCGCAGATGCATGCTTACTGGGTACGATTTAAGTAGCTGAAGCTGACCACCTCGAGCACCGGAGACTATGAGGTGAGGCAATATGGTGTCAAATGATATTCCTCCTTCGAAAAATCCGTGGTTGGAACATGGGATCGTCATCGAGATGAGAAAGGCATAATTTAGGAGTGGGTGACAAGAGAAGAAAGAGGGGAAAGGACAGTTGAACTGCGAGTGAGCAGAGAGGAAAAGAAATGAAAAACAGACGCAATAACAAAAAGCCTGTAAACACATTCGCTCGCATCGATCGACGGCATGAGGGAACGGCTCCGTCCTCTGAAGCCCAGGCTCTGTCCTCAGAAGCCAGCATGTGAGTTCATGTAGTTTAGAACTTGTTTAGGGGTTTTTTAAACTTTCAAAAAGTAAGTGGTTAAGAGTAGAGTCTTAAATGTGGATTTCCTTCATTAAAATTAGTTGCCTCTGTACAAGGTACCTTCGTTAGAAGTTGACTTATCAGAAAAGCTCAAATTAAATCTTAACTGATCTGACTTTGACCTGAACACGCACAGCTTCTTACAAATTGAGATTATTACTTTCATTTCTGAGACTACATTTATCTCTTTATACGAATGACTGTCTAAAAGAAGCTACTGTGTATTCGCCGTTGATCACCACTGTTCCGACGTTGCCTGGATGAGTATGGCTCTTATTGTCAGAAGCTACCAGTTCGACTCCTGTCCGGGACCACCCCTTTTGCGCCAAGCGTGGTGATAATTTTGTCTTCAAGAAGGTACAAAAAACTGTTCCCAACAAAAAAAGTTCATTGCAATGTTCTAGCTGTAGATGAATCGGCCTGGAAGTCACATATACTGATCATGTAGACGACGAGTGAATCCATTCCCATGGGCCATGTGAGTGAGATACTTTTAGACACAATGTAACCCGTCCTGCTTAGGGTTTTCTGGTACACCTATAATTGTATCAAGTAGTTGAAGATGTAGTAGAAGTTAACTGGCAGATGGATGTAAGGCGCTCAAAGCCACAAAAAACTGAAGAGCTCCAACGAGAATAAAGCACTCAAAAGGCTTGCAAGTATTTTCAGAGAAAGAGGTTCGTCAAAGAGTTTCTATTCACTGTTCAACTTCCTCCGTCACTCGAACAGAAAGTCACGTGCGCAAAATTTAAATAACAAAAAGGCCACCGATGATCTTTGTATAATTTGTGCCTTTCTCAAATACGTCACCAGGGAACTACTCCTTCCTCTGTATATAATCATCGCTCAGCCAAACGTGAAAGGAGCTACGAAGCTGAAGTTCGAAAGGGACACCAAGTCCGATCTTCCTCTTCCCAAGGGTCTATAGTTCACAGTCAAATAATCCTCTTACTCAAACCATAAAGTCAAAAACGGATTGCAAGTTGTATATGCTGAAAGGACAGAAAAGCATCTCATTAAATTCTACGCTATAAAGAAGGATCCGAAAAATATAAACGACGAGCCTTTGGTATTAATTAAGCCTGTCATTGGGATGCGCCCAATGCCCAATGCATTGGACTTCCATTCAGAATCGTAGTGACGCTTGAATGCCTGCGCTCTATACAATGAATTGCGTCGGTCAGCAGTTGTACAAGTCCTCCTTTTATGTCCTAGCCGAGTCTGGTACCAATGAATCGTACTTGGCGGGGTGGAAGTTCTGGTTAGCTTGGGCGAGTATCGCTGAGGGATTCGATCTCTGGACCATGCATGTGCGATAGCTTGCAACTACACCTCCTCCGCCCGAAAGAAGAGTATCAAATCGAAAACTTGCCGATAAAAAACATAATATCAGAACGTTAGTAAGCGAGAGTTTCCTACAACGGCTGCACTGTTTTCATAGCACAACTCTCTGTCCTGATGTGTACTTTGACATAGCCATGCATATGAATAGCCAAATGAGTCACAATTGTTGGCAATAAAGCGAGCAGTGACGAAGTGCAATGGAAAGTAGCATGTTATTGTTACTACATAATGAAAATTTAGGTAAACTGGCGAAAAGGAGAACATTGAGAATTAGTTCCTAAAACAGAAATTCAAACAAAAACAGACAAATTTTGATCGCTTTAATGAGTAAAGTTAGTCAATTTTAAAATTGGTTAACACGTAGGTAAACACAATAGCCAGTACTTCCTGCGACAGTCGAATAGTTGGTCACAACCCACAAAAAACAATAATGCCCAGTTGATCACCTTCTAGAAAAGTACAAAAATCCTACTTTATATAATTTGCTAAGTGTGTCTGTTGGTGTGTCGGTGTGTTTGTGTGTGTGTTTGTTTGTGTGTGTGTGTGT